GGAAACTACACGTGCAATTTCTCAGAATCACCGAATAGTTAATTTTCTAACACATTTTTTAACACATACATAGTCAGGCTGGGATTTATAGATAGGAAATTTTGTGCCTAGCTATCTTAAACTCCAATGAAAAAAAACGAGACCAGAAGTTTTGCAAATGTTTTAAACATTTTACATGTTTCCATGAAACATATATGGAGAGACTTCAAGGAAAGAAATCTTGTGAAGTTGTAGCATGTTGGTGTCAAACTGTATTTCTTGGACATGGTGGCTAGTGGAAAAAAATAAAGGAGGGGGAAAGAGGAAATGAGTTTTGCCACTTAAAGAGAGGAAAAGAACAGGATGCAGAGACAAGTGCAGAGAAGCTAGAGGAAGCTGCAGCATTCACATGGTTGCTGATACAATGATATAAGCGAACCACTGACAAGACAAGTGAGAATTAAGGAGGACTGCTGAAACTTCCTTTGGAAAGGTATATTCCTAAAACTCAACGATAATGAGAACCAAGAGCAGCCTCCTCCACATGGCAAAACAGGGAAATGTGGCACCATAAACAGATTTTTCCTGCTCACAGACCCCAGTGGCAGCCTAATCACCCCTATCTGCTCAAGGCACAAGGCTTGAAGGCTTAAAGTAAGCACAGAGCACACCAAGAGCAAACTCTGAAGGCAGGTTGTCTTATATCTGGCACTATCCCATTTACTTCACATAAACACTCTTCTGACAGCTGGAAGCATCGCATCACGAGGCCTGAGAGGAACGAAAATTTTCTTAGCTTTTGTCTCTCAAATATTTTAAAGGCCTAAAGATTTAAGATGGATTTTTCTTCTGAGTGTCAAAACTTCTTCTAGGTGCCTACATAATACTATATTAAAAACAGAATTTCTGTGAAGACAAATTGGCATGCAGACAGAAACTTTGGTTGAGAAAGATTTGTTGAGGAAGATTTGTAGGTTTGTCTCTTAAAACCCCTTCTGTGAAACGTGTTTATAACTGTTTACATTTTCATATAATAGGATTATTTGTAAACATGGAGAAAATAAACAGATTTTTGCTAGTGAAAAACGGAAATATTTTGGCTAACTTCCCAGCATACTGAGTCTGGGTGCACACTGACAAACCTGATAAAAGCAGATCTGCAGAGTAAAATGTTAAGTGCTTAAGACCCAATACCAAACCTGTATATGCTCATAGAGTTACTCCAGATGAGCTCTTGTCTCGCTCCATAGACTGAATGTATCTTAGCAGCTGAAGAAAACATCCAAGGAGAATCTGGTTTGTGTGCTCTGAACTTGAGTAAGGGGGGGGGTCACTTAAGAAGCACAAACATGATCTGAACTAAATAACTGATATTAGGGTTCACACACCAGTAGAATTCTCAGAGCATTTCCAGTTAGCTTTCAGAAGAACTCAGGCCCTTTGCCACATTAGAGAACCTCAAGAATTCATGGATATTCAAGCAAAACAAGGACTTCTTAAACAGAAACAACAAGAAGTGGAAAACTTACCACATAAGCTTACCTCATGTGTGAGCACTGCAGTGGTATGGGAAAGAAAAAGCTTTCTGAAGGGATGTACAGCTTGGCTGCAAAGGAGCGCATATCTCAGATGCAGTTAGCACTTCACAGAATAACACTGCTCAGCTGTAAGGAGATTGTTTTAATCCCCTCCTCGAGGTACAACAGCTCAATCTGAGAGTTTAAGTACTGCTGAATAAAAAAAAAAAACCTAACATATGATACAACCAGCATAAGCACAATAAACTCTGTAGTAGGAAGCAGATACTTCCTTCAAGAATTTTCTTCAGATCTGAACAAACCTTGTGTTTGAAAAGATGGTCTTGGAACCATAGTTCTGGTGACCTTAGGGGCCCTGCTAAACAAAGAGCTGTCACGACTAATTAGGTCAGGCTCTCAAGGACTGCAGTTTCCTGCCAAAGCTTTAAGAAGGATGAGGTGAGTGCAATACAACTTCAGAGAACGTAATTACCAAGCAAATCTGACACAGTCAGGCTTCCTCCCCGAGGGTAAGCCACATGGGGAGGCACACTTTGCATGACCCCAGAGTCCTGTCACCTGGGGCAGGTGGGTAGAATCGCTGCAAATCAGCTATGTCAAACATCAGGCCTTGGGACATTTGCATCACAATCTAGAGAAACAAAAGGGAGCATTAGTGACATTTCCAGTCAAAAGGAAAGCCAAAGACTTTTCCCACCAGGCTTAAGGCTCCCCTGCCTCAAGGGTAGGGTTCTCCATGCCAGCCTGCTGTGTGACCTGCAGCTGGTCACGTCCCACCCCTGCCCTTCCCCAGACACCACCTGGCCACAACCCCTGCCCTGAGCAGCAGTTTCTGCGTTGTGCATGGCGCAGGGAGGCCATGGGAAGACGTTTCCTCGCAGAGCAGAAGGGCAGGCTACGGCACAGCACACCAACCCACGTGAAAGAAACCTGGGCTTGAAGCCAAGCTTTTTTACTAGTTTTGGAGGAACAGCAGATAAAGACAAACTCCAAGTTACAACATTTTCCAAGAAAATAAAATAACACCTTAGTGCTGAGAAAACTGCATCCCAGCCCATACTGGCCAAACACCATCCCCTCACTTCCCATTTACAGCCTGTACTCAGGCAGAGAAAGTTCTGGAAGGGTTAGGCCCGAGGCCGTGTCCTTCCCTGCTGCATGCAGGAAACAGGTGCAGCACCCCCCTGTTGTCCCCAACATGGGGCCCATTTCTTCACAGAGGGTGAAGAAATGTTTTTCAGAGGATGGCAGCTTTTAAAATGTCCTGCCTGCACAGGGACTGCACAAAACAGGATCACACCAGTGCTTTCCAGTCTTCACATGAAGGCTTTCACTTCAGAGAAGACATATTAGCTTTTTCAGCTCTATCACACTTTAATGTGGTAACTCTTTCAGTTCTATCACGCTTTAGGATGTTAGAGCATTTAGAGGTTATTCCCAAAACTAAGACATACACAATTCATCTTTTAAGAGTGAAATTTTTTCCTAACATGGTAATATAGCATTATAGTACCCAAACCTGGCAAAGCTGTTGAAATATTCATCCATGCAGGCAGATACTGCAGGACACTGTCCTCAAGGACAGGTGAAGCTTCTTCCTATCAGACACTGCTAACTAATCCCCACAGCAGCTCCTAGGCCCACAGGCTCAGTGGCCACAACAGCCCTGTCAGAAATGCACCACTGCTTGCAAGACTGGCAGGTGATTTTGAGTCCTATTTCCTGAAGAGGAAAGAGAAGGCTCAGTCTTCCTAAGCTACCTGCTCCCAGTCAGAGTCACCCGAATTAAGGAGATTTCACCTTGACTTCTACCCACTAACCTCTCTATAGGAAACCACCTACAGTACCACACCTGCCATCATCCTTGCTCCTCCACCATGACATGCCCAGCTTTTGGGGGATTTCTTGCACCGTTCTTTGGTCTCTTGCTTGACCCCTGAATGTGAGAAGGCAGAGTGGTTGGCAAGGCCCCTGACCAGCCTCCTTCTACAAAGCCAAAGAGCTTGTTTCCAACAGCCTTGTTAGCCCAGGTAATAAAACCCAACAAATTAATTACAATTCACACAAAAATTTCACAGAATCCTTCCACTACTGGGCCTAAAATTCTGTCTCCGCTGTAAGTCAACAGATTCTTAACACACTTATTTTCAGCAACTACTTTGTATGGCTGACAATAGTACCAAACAAACAATGTGGCAATAGCTCAAAGATGCTGGGCCTAAGGATTCATTGATGCCCACTTGAAGTTTTCAAGTGAGATTTGCTTTTCAAATAACTGTTTGAGAAATGCCCAGATGACCACTCCTTTTCAACATCATCCGAATGCTTCAGCACCAAAGTCAGGACACAGCAGGTTGCTGAGAAACAGACTCGCTTGCGGTGGCCTGATGAGAAAGGCCGAACAAAGATCTGAAGCACATTGAAAACAGCAGAAGTGCTTGACACAAGTGAAACATGGAAGCTGGTGGTACACAAGGACTACATCAACTCAACCTGTGTTTAACCAAGTTGTGCTCCTGGCTGCTACTTGAATACTTTCTCACAGATTAGTATACATTGCATTAAAACTAAAGCTTAGATCTGGAGATGCTCCGTCCATCTAGACCTAGGAAACCATTAACTGAAGGCCATTAACTGGAAGTATGAAACTTAAGTTTTTATTAGACTGTCCTAAGCCATTGGCATATACACAATACTAAAATATTTCTGATATATTTTTTAAAAACAATAGATTTAATTGCAGTTCACAGAATTTGCCAGCTTGTGGTCCTGTCTATACTTACCAGCACCATCCTTTCACAGGCTGCTCACTAGTACTGCTATGATACCTCTAGATTTCAGTAACTTTTTCTGCTTATTAAGCAGCCTTTTTTAATTATCTTTTCTCTTTTGCAAGTACAACAAGCTCTCATTTATGTCGAGAAGCCTTCACCTCTCCTCTTACACAACTTGCAAGAGTAGTCTTGCTGAAATAGTGTCTACAGTTTCTTCAGGCTTTCCTTCATTATGATACAGCTCCCTAAAGAACGATGTTAGCATGACCAGAACCATCCAACAGTAGCATGATCTTTCCAAGCAGACAAGCTTCTCTTCCCTGCTAAGGTGATAAGAATTTAGGAGCTAAATTTCTTTTGTCCTAGAAACTAAAAATCAGTGCAGGATTGGAAGTATTTTGTATGGACAAGAGGAATTGAGCGCTTCAGGATGAAGTAAATTTAGCTCTCTAAAGCAGGAAAGGGATTCTTTGCTTTCTGTATCCTCTGAGGGATTGGTTCTTCTTTTGGTTCTCATCTTTAACACTACCATACTAAAGTAACTGTACTCTGTAATATGTGAGAGAGGGTCCAACCAATTGCAATTATATTCTGATTATTAAAAGTCCTCCCCCTCCCAAGACAGACTCCATGAAGGTATGGAACTATTGCAAAGGCCAAATATCCATATTTTAATAAGTTAAATATAAAAAGCATAGAGTCACTGAAATGTTAACAAGTTAATATATTTTAAAGCAAATATAACAGTGTATACACATAAAAACCATTTAACACAAAGTGAAAACCATTAGATGCACCTACTAATGCAAATTTTTGGTTATTTTCAGCTTCTTCACTGAAACTTGGAACCCATGCTCTTCATTTCAGTTATACCAGGTTAAGTGGTGAAACTGATCTACAGCAAGCAAACACACTGCCTTTCGTGCAGCTGAGACAGCCACCATTGCAGTGATATTCTCCCGAAGGGCATCCAAACCAAGCCGACTGTGCACGTTTGCCCCCACTTATTAGGCTATATAAGAAACCAGAAGTGGATTGATTGCTGCTTCTGAAAAGTAAAGCTCAGTAAGTGCATCTCGCTGTACAAAAAAGCATTAAAGTGACAACATAGAAAACTGGCAATAGATGATCACATCTGCCTAAAATATACACATATGATACATAATTATGGGCCATGTTGGCCAGTATGCAAGTCTGGAGCAAAGCTTTAATTGCACAGATTAGAAAACTGAACAAATGCTTTAACAGAGCAAAGCACAAGCTTTGGTTTATGCTTAGACGGCAAACATCAAGCTTTCCATTTTTATTACATGGTTTAATACAGAAAAATGGCTCCTTTCATGGCTATGCAACAGTTGTTTCTCTATGAATAAGCACTTCATTCCATACTATGGAATGAAGCTCAGTGTCTTATCCAATGAGCCTATTAGCTGCATCTAGACTGGGAATGCAATAAATCTTTATGAAAACCTACTTAGTTACAAAATGAAAACTTATTTCCTTTACAATCCCCCCTCCCCCCATTTTTAAAACACTGCATATATAAAAATAACTCCAATATGGCACAAAAATGGGATTCTCTAATGAAGGCAAAGGATAAAGGGGAAAAGCAAAGCCTCCACTGGCAAGGTCAATACTTGCATAGCAGTCCAAGAAGAATTTGCACCCTATACAAAGTGAGCTTCCCTGTGTTCTAGCTCTTGGATCCTTTTTGGTCGCAGTCTCTGGTAAGTAGGCTTCAGATCTGCAGGGTGAATATCCTCTGAGCTAGTTTTTTGTTCACTTGTATTTTTTATGGGATCACCCGACAGAAGTGCGGCGCTCCCGTCCAGATTCACAGCATTGTCCTGGGGAAGCACAGTGCTAGCACTGGCTAGTAAACAAGCTTTAGCAGAAGAACCCTCTTCATCCTGTTTTGACTTGTTAGAGGGTGGTTTATAAAATGTCCCTGGGGGAGGCTGCAATGTTCTTGGTGCCCTGAAGGCAGCAAGAGGATGGGTATCAGGACCATTCCCTTCTGGTGTTCTTCCTGATCTGAGAGAAATAGAGTATGGCTTACTAGGAAGAATGGCATTAACTGAATTGTTACTGACACTGCACGAGGAAGATAAGGCACCTGCAGTTCCACTCTCAAGTGCTCGGTTCTCCTGAGGCACATTAGTCACAATCATTGCTGTCCTTGCTGTTATATCATATTGTTTATATTGTTTGTCCCAAGTCTTTCGTAGAGTCTGGGGATCGTAACAAGAAAGTCTGCAGCAAGTATTAACAGTAGGGAGTGATTTCACCTCTGAAACCTCTTCAATAGTAGGGCTCCTGCCAAGCTTCTCTGGACTCACTGCTCCTGCATTTCGTGAATTTCTTTCATTCAAAACACACGGAGGAAGTATCCGGTCTACAGGTAAGCTCACAGGGCGAATAGCTGGTTTTGTCCTTGGAATCCGCAATGGAACTTTGGTAATTTGCCGGTTGGGTTTTACAGGAAATAAGTTTGTTTTACAGCTGTCTTCGCCTACAGAAGCAAATGAATCGTCGTCTCTCTCTGAAGCTGAGCTCACAGCATCACCTACAAGTACACAAATAGGTGTTACTGAATCTTTGCACCAAGTATATAGAGAAATCAGCATGACTAAACTTGGTTATGATCCTTTGGCAGCTAGTATTCTAACAGAACACAGCACAGCCTTTCATATATACTAGGAGTATCCTAGCCTAGCCAACTAGTAGCACTTCAGTAGCAGTAAAACTCATACTGGACAGATGCAACCAAGAACGGCTAAACAAAAACGACTTAGACAAAACAACAAAATAAAAACACACAGGTGCTTTCCCACCCTTGGATACTTTCAGTTCAGAAGACTGGATGTGCTCAGATGGCTGAACCACTTATAGACTTAACTGGTACCAGCAGCGGGACAAGGGAAATTTTCAGTATAATTAAAACAAACCATTTATAGTTACTCCTGAATAAAATATTCTGTATTTGCATTAAAATCAACTGCTGCATTAACAATCTCAGCAAACCTGACTCATTTGGAGCAAAAGTATGAATATCCAAAACGCCGGCAGCCGATGATTCTTCCAGAGAACTATTCTTTCCAGAGCCTTCTAGCTTAGTCCCACCGAGTGGCAATGATACAAGTCCTAGGGGGAAAAGCAACCATCAAAACACTACTTGCTGGATACTGGTTTATAGCATTATAGTTGGTTTCAGAAATCCAGTGAATAGTCTACAGTGACAGCATAGTGATCTTGTTTAAAAGAAAATAAAAAGCAAGTCACTGCTGTGCTTTCTTACTAAATACATTACAATCTGATTCCAAACACACAGGTTTCTTGAAGGCTTTTAGAAAGATGTAATATTTTACCCCTCCTCCAAAATAAAGCAGAGTATTAAGCAGTGACAGGTAGTTTCCCACTTATGTCCCCCACTTAGATTATAAGAGCAGCTCTTAAATATAATGCATTCGCAATGGTATTTACCCACACTCCCCAAAATATATAAAAACTCATTAACCAGTTCCAGATGCATCTTCTTGCTCTTTTGCATTCTTGCTATTGTCCGATTCCAAAACCAATGAAACTGCTTCCGAAACTCGGCTCTCAGTTGGAGCTAGCAGAATACTCTGTGAAAAAAATCAGAGCAAAAGAAAATGAGAACAAAAAAAAGCATTCCTTAATCAAAAGGCAACTGACCAAGCAAGAACCACCCACTACCACCCGTGATGTTAAAAGGCTTTCACTGAAGTGTTCTTTGGAACGCTGCAACATTTAACACAAGATGACGCAGGCAACATCGCTCAGTTCGAGAAGTCACTCACTTCCTTTACAGCAACTAATGACTTCCTTTGCTGCTGTGGCTCCCTCTCTTCTGTTGATAAAGCAACTCCAATTGTAAGGGCAGTTTCTTCTGACTGAGACGCATTCAGAAGCGGTTGCAATGAAACGTCAAATATCTTCTCATAGTGTGTGATGAGCAGCTCTACTACCCGGGCCTGGTGCGGATAATCCACAAGCGATGACAGAGAAACCGTAGCATCCGTCTGACGCGGCCTGATCAGCGTTGGGCCAAATATTATGCCAAGATTCCTGGCTGTCATTTTATTTTCATCAGACTGTTCTGTAACCCTGTGTGAGAAGAGAAAAAATAAACATAATTGGAAATAATTACCACCAACTATGATACAATTTCCATTTTTTCGATAATAGATAGTGACCAGATCACTACCATACTTGGGTCAAATCCTGACTTAAAACACAACTGCCAGTAGTTTTCAGTTGCTGACCCTGAAGCCAGCAGACAAACAAGCATAATGGAGCACAGCTCTTTCCCACCTTCTTTTATTTTTCCCATTTTTACTTTAGCCAAGAACTCATTAAATTGAGAACAAAAATAGAGCAACCTACTCTCCATATATAATTTCCCCAGAACAGAAAGAACTAGAGCCCTCTATGGGTATAATGGTTTAAATATGAACAATTTTCTATAAATGTCCACCTGCAAAAGTTTTTGCCACCTAAATTGATAACTGAGTCAAATTTAGCAAGATCCTTCCATTTTCTAAAGGGAATTCATGGCAGCCACAAGTTTAGAATGTAAGTATAGAATGGCAAAGCAATAGCTGCCTAACCACAGCTTCAGGGAAACAAAAATAAAAACATTTCTGCTGTGTCTTAACTCTTGGAACACCAGAACCGGGACCTGTTCACACAGATTAGGAAGTAAAGGTTAGAATTCAGGATCTCGGCTACAGTTCAGGGCCTCAACTCAACAGTATTAAGTGTGAGGCAAGCTACAAAGTCTCTGCTATTTCAAAAGCACTTTGGGACAGTGGTCGAGATGCAAAAATACACACTTTTTTTTTTCCTGCTCTAAAGGACCAGGAGCCTGGAAAAGACTTTAACTGCCCAAGTTAAATTCTGTCATAAGTGTATAAGGGCATAGGACCTGGGAACACAACACGACGTATTTGGGGAATAAACAAAGTGAAAGATGCACACAAACCCTGAGGCTTTTTCCTCTAAAGACATCCAAAGTGTTCAAGAGCTTCTGAGTAGCATATAAAAAAATATCTTTCAACATACAGTTTGTATATCAATCTTCTCACCTGTGAAGGTGTCCTATAAGGTACTGAAGTGTGTTATAGTTTGGCACAGGCAGCTGCTTGAGAAGATCTTTAATTTTAATGATGATCCTGTTCAGCTCAATACAGATTGACTGTCTTTTCTTTGATCTGGGACTAGCTTGTTTAGCATCCAATTCCTCATTAATATTCTGGCTTTCTTTTGCAAGTCCAATGAATTCATTGTAAAGTCGAAACAAAATCAAGGGTTCTGGAAGCTGAGGAAATAAGAACTTGGCTCTTAACATAGAAGAGACACCACATCCGTGAAATGATACTTCAGTAGAGATATACATGTCACAAATCAACAAAGAAAGTAAACTCATTTGCAACACACAATAGAATTTTAGTTTTGCAACATTTCTGAGAGATTATTATGCTTCTTGGGCTGCTACATTCAGTACCCTCACATCACACTTCGGGCAAGTCTTAAAAATTGCATGGGCACGTCTTAAAAATTGCGCGGCATCAGATTTTTGTATGTAAAACCCATTTCAATACAATATTAACAACATGAAGAAATTCCAGGTCACCCTCTTGTCTCCCCCTTTTTCAAGGGAGCAGGCCTATCTAAAAATTGCAAACTGATTAGCCACAGGATGTAATAAGACTGGGGGAAATCATTATCCAGAAAAAGCATTGCAAAATGGAATTTATTCAAAATGCAGCACGGTGCCTGAACCCACCAAAGCATGATATATAAAAAATGCTATCACATGAAAAAGCCACCATTAAAAAATAAATAAAATCAAAATTCATCTTTGTAGTATCTCAAAAAGCACTTAACTTAATGGGGATCATGGGATTTGGAATGCTCTTAAGAATGCTTATCTGTGACAGGCAGTGTGAGGAATGGAACATGACAGGCCCTAAGGCAGCTAAGGATTGCTTCTTCAGGGGGAAGAAGTTTCTAGAGCAACTCAGTCATTGGGCAACTCATCTTTTCAGATACTCACTGAATCCCTTTTGGATAACCCATTTGTAAAGCCCTGAAATTCCATTTTCAGTGAAAAAGAATGATAAGCTGTTTTAACAAGCACATCATGACTTGCATGAGTGTTTAATCAAAGTTTTATTAGCAATGAATTAGCATTTGCCTGCTTTTTGAAACAAGAGTATGGGAATAGTTTAAGCTTCATATGAAACAAAGCAAATAAAGTAACCACAAGGTTTTAAGTACTAAGCCTCACAAAGTTGATAAACAAATGCCTGGTTTGTGTAGTGTACTGGCATTTAGGAAAAATCCATGCCCAAGAAGAATCCAAATTGTAGTGCCAGTGGTCAGTAACCTCAGTTTTCAGTGCCCTATCAGTCGCCATGTGAGAACATGCAAATATAAAACACGTTCGTTTCATCTTCAGAACAAGAGGAAGATAATTTCTTCCAGCAATTCTGCAACTAAAGTTTATTATGTTACTTGTTTTTCTCTTCCATGCTCTAGAGTTTATACCTGGCGGAGATACAACTTGAGAACATTGCTGATGTCATGGGCATAGAGTTCTGAGAGTTCGACCAAATCCTTTCCATTTTCAAAAGCCTGACAGAGTTTTTCAACTCTTGACTTGGCTCCATTCACACGGTAGATGCCCTGAAATAAGAGACCAGCAAATTCTATTTTCCTTCTAATGGCAAGTGTAAGACAGAAACATGAGAACAACAGTGCAGTATTCCTGTGTTAAGGGTTCCTCTCCCACACCCGAGGTACTTAAAATTTTGTAAGTAAACTTAGGCATACCTTTACATTAAGGGCTCTGCTTTCAATTTCAGAAGTACACTTTTTGATGATGAAAGGAATGCCATCAGGAATGTTTTTAGCAGCTTGGGCAAATTCCACTCCAAACAAGTGAAGCCTTCCATGAAGTTTTTTGTGCCCACATTGAATAGCTAAAGTCTCCAAACACTTTTTATGGCATGCAAGTGAACACTGGAGGGGAAAAAAAAAAAAGTTTGACACAATCTGACACAAGAGATCTCTCCAGTGCTTCTCATGCCATATAGGGGAAAAAAAAGAAAAAAAGAAAAAAAGAAAAAAAAAAAAAAGATTCACTGGTATGTGGTGCTGTTTGCTTTTTGTTCATCATTCCATGAGCCACAAAGATCGCATAACTTAAACATTAAAGTTTAAGTACAAAGTTTCCAAGACTCCCAACTTCACAAAAATCCCAAGGAGCACTTACCTCCTCACATTCAGCTCCATGAAATACTACTAAGCTGTCACATTCTCTGCATTTAGATGGAGCTCTCAACTTTCGTAGTTTGTGTGTTTGTGCTGCTTTAGACATATTAGCATTTCTAAAAGGTCCTGGAGAATTTGCATTTTCCGATGTCAGATCATTCAAACCTAGAGGCAAAATTTTTATGTTGAATATTCTAATGTTTAGTTAGATGCAATAGTGGGATGTTTTCTTTAAGAACTATGCCGTAGAACATAGATTTCTAAGTAATTACAACTAAAAGCAAGTAACATTATTTCCATTCCAAGAAAGTAAAACAATGTTATAGTCTGTATAACAGGCATACACTATCAAATAATCTTGCACAAAGGTAGAATCAAATAGTCAAGTCCTACATATTTTAGTATTTTTTTTCCTGCATGTCAAAGGTTTAGTACATTTAATTCCAACTGTCTCACAGATCAAATAATTGTCCATGCCAGATACTTCAAAGTAAAAGCTTGTACTAGAAGATAAACGATGACAATATAGCTTGTTTCAGGGATCACTGACCTTTACCTTAGGAGGATAAAGGCACTAGAAATATTCAAAGGCTGGCTACATATTTAACCTAAATGTATGAAGACATTCCGTACTGTTTCACAGAAGTGACCTGACTCTTATTTTTCAGCTCTCAACCTCATACAGATGCACACTGATTTGAAGAACAGTACTGTGGGCAATCACAACATTAATATACTGAGAAAGTTATGCTAAAACACAGAAGAATCACATTCAGGGCATCTTATAAGGACTTCGGGTATGGAAATTACATTACCACAGTCTGAAGGAGAAGGTGGTTCTCTTTCATCAAGATCATCTGCAGATGACATAGTACCAGTAGAAGGTGTTCGGGGAAGTCGCCTTTTAAAATCGCCTAGAAAATGGAAAAAAAGTGGGAAAATATCACCTCTACTCGAATGCTTGGTCTCTTAACATTTCTTAAATAATCTGCGATCTCTCCATTAAGAGTCAAAGAAGAGATTTCAGATCAGTATAGCTGTGGGTGACCTTTACCTGGGCTAGCAGACGGCGAATCCATGGATCGTGACTCACTGCTTCCCCCTGCACTTTCAGAATCACTGCACATTCCTCCACTCTGGTTGCCAACTGACCACGACCTGAATGGTGGTGGCCCTCGGATTGCTTTTTAAAAGAAAATCCCAAAAATCCAAGTGTCAAAGACAAAGTGAGGTTGAAAATTCTTTACTGAAATTTTACTGTAGTCAGAATAGGAAAATATTGGAAAAGTTAAATGAAGATGAAATATACACTGAAGACCCAAAGCATGTTCGGCATGTAGGAAAAGGAATTTTACAGACTTGACACTCGTGCTTTTGCAAAACAGCTTATAAAAATATTAGAAGATTCTTAAATGTTAGTGTTAAACATCTTTTATCCAAACAGCTTAGTACATTAAGTTTAACAGTATTTGCTGATGAGTGGCATCTCATCTCATCTTTCTCATCAAATTGTAAAGACAGTTTTCCATTTGGTCTTACATTCAAGTACATGCACTATTTTTAAATTTCAAACTTAAAAATGCAGTTTCCCCTGCACCCTCAACTCTAAGTTTCTTGACAATAAGATATCAAGAACCTTCTTTTTTTCCTCCTGACATTATTATCTAAACACTGAAACAGAAAAGAACTACCTTGGATATCTGTACTACTGGAAGATCTCTTCTCTCCAATCTTTTGTGAACGATGATAAATTGGGCTTCCCACATCATCTAATGTATGGGTAGGAAAATCTCCTGAACACTGAGATAAGTTACCATGGGATGTATGGATGCTGTTTACTGATTGCTTATTAAACACCCTGTAGAAAGATGAAAGCAGTTTGGGTAATGAGTAAAATAATAAAAATAATTTGATTTTTCATCACAGTACACTAAAATGCTCCATTTAATTACTTGTCATGACTATATGCATTTGGCATGGAACTATTAAAGCGCAAATACTAATAAACAAACAAAAATAAGAAGGTACTTTAGTAATATTTCCCAATGACTCCCTTCCCTCGCAAAATTAATCAGCTTTTCCACATCTCTGCAAGGTTTTATGACTCCTGCTTTATGGATTTTGAAAACACAGTAAATTTGTTCATCTAAAATCTGGAATAATTCAGATGTTCCTGCATCCTACTCTCATGCTTTGCTCAGAGATTCTCTTGCCAGTCATCAGAACTATTCATCTAGACAAATAAAAACTTCAACATATTGTGATGTATTGTGGTTAGAACCAGTTTTTATTAAAAGCAGAGAAAACATTGAGACTTACAGTTCATTACAAAAGTCTGCTTAAGACAAGGACAGAAAGCAATTAACAGTGTAATTAGTGTAAAATGCTGAAGTGCCCTGTGGACAAAATGTCTTGCTAGCCAAGTTTAGCAGTTAGGAAGTTGTTGCTTAATCAGCCCTCCCCTACTCTGCTGAAGGAGATAACAAAGACTTAGAAACATTAAAAGTTCCCTTTGACCAAGCTACTGTCCCTTAAATAAACGCAGGCCCAAGCAATAGAGTGATCACTGCAAGCGCAAGAACAATCATAAGGTCACGTCAAAAAGAGAAGGGATGAGAACAATGCTCCTATAGATCTATAAAGCGAATAGCCAGGAGGACATACAAGGAGTTTGAAATTTCACACTCATCCGTTTCTTGGGGAACTGCATAGTTAAATCCCCTAAAATCAAAGTTTACAAGCACAGTCTAAATCAGTCTTAAAAGGCAGGAAATTTACAGACAAGAACTAAGAATCTCAGCTTTAATTTTGAGTTTCCTGGCTTTTGTTGGTACAAGTCTGACTCAAGCATTAAGTTTTTGTATTTAGCTTCCTTTTGAAACACAATGACGACACTTTCCTGTAGAACCGTGAAATTTGCAGATTGGAATGGATATTCTGGTACTTAAGTGCTAAGTAACTATTTTACAACAAGTTAAAGGTAGAGGGGTAGTTGCCACACTGATACTATAGGTTGTCCTTTGGTATCCCTTTACTTCCACCTTAGCTATATCTTTCATATATGAACAGTGAAAGCTGCCATTTTATGCAGCTGAAAAAATAAAAGTTTTGCCATGCCCCTCTCATCTTTGAAACAGTCTTAAAAAGAGACTCTATGCTAGACAGCATTAGACAGAAATCAACCTTCCTGCCACAACGTTTTCAGACCTAAAAAATAAAGGAGAACATACAGTAGTAGCAAAACCTGCTTACAGAGAAAAAGTACTCTCACACTTTAAATTGATTATTGAGCAGTAATGCCACACCACATTTAGTGAACACTATGCAACATGAAAAAATACATTTTTTATATTAATTAATATCTACACTTAAATTCACTTACACCATTGACAACCATTGTCAATGTTCTAGCAAGTCTTTACAACACAAGTTTCTCCTTGGAATTTAAAGTCAAGTTTTAATGGCAACATTATATATTGCTGACTATCAAATAATTCTGTTTTATTGTTCCACATGCGTGCCTCATCTAATTCTGAAATAAGCAAATACTACCAGCAGGTTGGAACTCACCCATCAACCTGGGAATTCTGAGTTTCAAAAGAAGTTGGTTCAATGGCAACACCTTCCTTTGGCAAACTTTTCACAAACTCTGAATACTGCTGACCAGGTTCATAGAGTTTGGCACTCTCACAGAGGGACTGGCAGTTAACTGGAAGAGATACAACCTGAGCATGCTGCAACTGGAACAAGTTAACTGCTGCCTGTTAGAAGGAAAGGGAAAAAGAGAAAAATACATATTTGTAGATTGTTTACTAGGTATTTCACTTACACACTGCTTGACCTAATAGCAAGAGAATTATTTAAACAATTTGTATTTCAAATGCTGCTATCTTTGTCTGCACGTTTATAGAGACTGACTTTGTGCAAGACTCCTGAAAGTCAGCTTGCAAATACTTCATCTGTTAGCACCAATATTCTTTTGTGCTCACTGGGTTATTGAACCCTCCAAGTAGCAAAGGCAATTCCAGCATCTTTCCACTTTGACAAGACAAACAGTAAAATTTACTGCTACCAAAAAGGCAGCTTTTGTGCTCAAGGAAAAGTGTTAGGTGCCACTTCAACAATTAAGCAGTGGCAGTTCCAAACCTGGGCTAGCTCATCATCGCCCTGAAACGAGAAAATGACCAAGTACCTTGTCACAGAGCTACACACTAACTTGGGCCTTTCCTTGTTCAGTTATGTAGAACTTTTAGCGCCCCCCCCCGCCACTCCCAACAAGTGGGAGGCCAGGAAATAAGCGTACTGCATGGCTTCTGTTGGAGCTTCAGGATTGCTGGAGTATCTACCACTCTTTCAACTTCTTAAACAGGAACCAATGTTTACATTTACATATTCTTTCCTACTTTTGTTCTTTAACAAGTCAGTATCTGACCAGCTCACACTAATATGGTATGATGCACCTACATAAAGATCTCAGGCTTGCTCATCCTACCTCTCCGAGATGAGAAACACTTCGTCTTCACTGTAAACAGCTTAATAGGATTTTGAACTTTCTACAACAGCATTAGCTAGCTGAATGCTCAGTTTTTGATTTAGGCAAACAGAACCTGATTGCCAGTGAAATCCATCCTGCAAGTGTGTTAATTGAAGACAAAGTTCAAAATGGTAACAAAATGGTAGCTATTATTGAACATTTTTTTCCTCAAGCTGCTGAGTTCAGAGCACATGTCTATTTGCAAAATATAATCTATAATTTTTGAAAACAGTTTTGAAACTGTAGGACAGTCTTGATAATCTTATTTATATGTACTCAATTTCCACACTAAGCTAAAATGGATTTTTGAAAACCTTCTATTTTAAACAGTTTATACTTTAGCTGGGGTTCTCTTTCAGTCTTCACCTCAAGTCATATTCTTCTTACTGCTAAAAATATTTCAAAAAGGATCCTTACAGCTTTAAGAGTGAGATCGCACTGGTAAATAAGCTCCCGAAGCTGTGTTAGGACATCACTTTTAAAGCTTTCCAAAACACTTCTTTTCTCTTCAACTTCTGCCATGCTTGCTTTATAGTGCTCCTTGGCTTCTTCAGCCTAGAGAAGACACAAGCACAGACAGCTGACGGAGTACAAGACCTTAGTATTAGAAGCAAGATAAACACACACACACAAACAGGCTGTAAGAAGAGAGTTCCATTTAGGAGAAGTGTCTGAAAGAGCATAGAAGGATTAAAATTAAGAATTATGAGCCAAATACTTGTTCAAATGCTATCACTGGGGAACCACAAATAAGAATAGCAAACACTTATCTCTAAAAACAAATAACAAAATCCCTTACTTTTTGAAGGGCCTCCTCTTCTAGTCTTCGTTTTTTTTCTAGTTGCTTGCTAACATCTTTCACAAAGCTTCCACTTGAGCTAAGATGCTCCTCCTCAGCACGAGCAGTGCTGGATTTTGCCTTTTCATACTCATCCTGACGCTGTATACATAGCAGCTTTGCTTTTCTTAGAGCAGCTTCTAGCTCTTGCTACAGAATGCAACAAAGGGAAAAAACAAAGAAATAATGATTTTTTTTTTCTAGTTATTCAATGCCATGTTTAAAGAGACTGTTGGGCAATTCAAACTATATGCACATCAAAAGGTACCGTTTTAGAGACAGAAGTACACCAGGGAACTGACCGTTACAGCAAGCCCTAGAAATGCTCTGCGTGAATTTAAGTTTGTAACATTAAACAGCCTAATTTGAAGTCCCTACTTTTTGAAGAATTTTAAATTGAATAATTAAATATGAAAAAATACCATTTTTTTCTGTTCTCGCTGCCAAAGCTCCTTGATATCTTTCCGTTGTCTATCCAACTCATTTTTTCTTCCCAGAAGGGGCTGTATGGAAGAGATTGAAAAGAATAAACTCTCAACCATAAGCTTTTTATGTTCTCTAAAATCTGTACAGTTACAAAACTTTTTAAAAACTTGCATAATCTTGGCCATTTTGTGTAAGCTTACCTGCACAAATTTATTAGACTGGAGAGCAGCAGCTGTTTGTTGCCAAAGCTGATTGTTCTGAATATCATTTTGAAAAGCATTAATGAATATCGATTGGAATGGCATATAATCCTAAAATTACACACACAGAAAATATTAGTGCATTGGATAAGACATTATAAGAGCCTGTATAACTGAACTAGATTTTCAGTTAAGTTTAATGAGGTAATTCTATATGCATAGAACTCGGATCATGCATAAGGGTAGGAAATGGCAGTGCAATTTTTCAGTTAAATTTTATTCAAAAAAGAAAATACTCTGCAGAGTCTGCAGGTCCATATTGCAAAGCATACAATACACTACACAAAGGAAAAATCATACTGCAAAAAAAAGTCTATTCTATTTTCAACAAAAATAAATTTACTTCTCCAGATTTCCAAAAGGGGACAGAAGGATGAAAAGCAACAGATGTTTTAGCTAATCATCTACTGAATAAGTCAATTCTATATCAATTTAAAACTCCTTTCCTCAGTGCCCCAACAGTTTCATTTTTGGCAAGGCATTCGATTCATATTTAAGCCTGAAAACAAAGAAAAAAGCTAGAAGTTACTTACCTGGGGTCCAACAACAGCTTTAGCAGTTTCAGCCATTTTTGCCAGGTTTTTTGCACACTCCACTTCTGTTAAAAACACATTCCACATAGTTACTGTTTACACTAACAACTATACCACATGCTAAATGCTTTTTACATTCTTCCTCTAACAGATGGGCTACAGAGGGATCACCTTCACTTTGTTACAGGCCTTTAGTTATAGGAAATGGGCGATAGTTCTGTCCACTTCAGCGGAACAGCTATTAATTGAGAAATCACATTATTGACAGTCTGCAGCACAGGGACCTGACAACAGATTTAATTCCATCATGACAAAGCTGATTAAATGCCAGAAAGAGCCACTCACCCAAGCTAAGCTTTTTTTCTACCCATGCGACTACATCCTTGGTATATTTTGACCATGCTTTAGCATAGGACAGAGCTGATTCGATCCCAGTGTCTTTTCTCAGGAGCATGCTATCAACCTCCTCGGCTCGAAGATGCCCTGAAAATAAAGCACCAGACTTGAAGCGAATTTTAGACATGACCACACACTAAGAGTAAAGCCAGCATTAGCCAACTGTGAACGCTAAAGCAGCTCTGATCTGGAATTGTTCTTTAATACTAATTGACTCTAAACAGGACTGACAGAGGTTTTAGAACATATTAAAGGGTCACAGTACTTTTTCCTGATTAGTCATATGGTCAGCATAACTTTCTTAAAGAAAGTGATCCATCCAAACATCAACTATATGCAGAAGTGCTTCAGGCCATTTCCTTCACCCTCCTCAAAAAACTTCTATGATAGTAATTTTCACTGAAATTTTAACGACAACATAGCTATTAAAGTCAAATTTCTTGACAGTATTTTAGAAAGAGAAAATAATAGTTTCAGCATAGTGTTTATTAATAGTAAAAAAGGCCAAAAAGATGACCTACCTTGAATATCATCCCTTTCATGCAGTGACCCCCCAGACTCCACAGAAAGGTTCTCAAAAGACTGATGTAAAAGAAATACAACAGTAAATTAGGGAAAAGCTCTCGCTAGAATTGATAGACAAACTAAGAGGCATAATCTGCCCCCTACTGTGCTGTAATTCCCTTTTACCCAATAAGATAGGCTATCCTATTCTATCTACAATAATCTTATAAACTCCAGTAGCTATAGATTGAAACATATAAACGAGCAGGGAATCATTATACATAAGGTTGCGATGGAAGAATTAATTTTTTAACTAATTAGGCTGATATTTTAGGGACTTCTAGCTTTCCTTGGTCTCCTCCCTATCTTCAAGGAAAGCATTTCATACAGACCTACTGTCATATACATACAAATCAGACATCTTTCTGCAAGTCATTGGAATTGTAGATTTCTGCCTTACAGGTATAAAGCTCCCGCAAACTATCCGCAGATTTCCAGGTAGACACAAGGCTGACTTTCTAAAGTACTGATAACTGCAGCCAGACAGAATTTAATCATCAAATCAACCAAGGGAATTTAGCATTTCATCCCTGCCTTTGCCCTCATGCTGTATTTTGCTACCCTTTTTAAGAGTGCAAATTAGTACCATTTGTAGGAATAAATTTAAGTGAATGAAAAGTTTCCCTACTTAAACCCCTCAAGAGTTTGCTTTTGTTTTCAACTTGTATCATTTTAAATGATTAAACTAATCTCAAAAACTCAGTGTCGAGCAGGCAGAAGACGAAGGCCAAGAAACAGCCAAAAGGCAGCATTAAGTTTTACAAGAAGATATTTCTTCTGATTCTGTGCTGTTTTATTTTCAGACTTAAGATTAAAATGAAGTAGGGTAACAGTGACACACATAGTTCTAGTATTTTGGTTTGTTTCTTAATGTAAATCTGATTATGTCAATCACAGAAAAAGAAACCCTACGAGTACTGTTTACTTCATAGCAAAACCAGGATTTTCTTATACCACAATGGGCACTGTATTAATCAATTACAGTGGAGATAGTAATGAACAGAAACAAAAACAGAATCAAATTACATTGCAGATCAGCCCTCCCCTACTTCCAATCCTAAGAAAATGAAGGCTACTACATTTGCCATCTAGTAAGTGTTTTAGTAAGAAGAAATTACTACTTTGAAACAACCAAGACATTAATTAAAAGCTGTTCGGCTACTCTCTAGTAGAGAGCTGTGTGAACAGAACTGACAGTAGAAAAACTGAACAAGGGTCAATATTCTCCCACCTAAAAGTATAAACACTGCTCACATCTGGTTTGGTTAGCAATTTTTGAAAGTGATATGTATCTGTTACGGGAACAAGCAAGAGGGGTAAAAAAAAATTTACTTTATGAGCTCATCCTTTACAACCAAATAAAACACCCTAAAACAAACATTTCCCATTGGAGAAGACCCAGATCACATCAGTCCTGAGAACTGTTCCCTCCTCTCCAGTAGCTCAGACGGTGCAGTTAGCACAGCTATCGATGCTCATTTGCCCATCCATACTCCAGCTACAAATGTACAGTCCCACTTTGCAAAGCCAAACACAGGGACAGCTAATGCCACTCCATTACTTTTACTTATATCCTCTCTCACTTATCATCACAACTTGACACAGATGCTGCAAAAGGACCAACTGACCCATCCCAATGGGCCAAGCAACAGAAAATCCCAACTTCTAGATAAATTCCACTTCAACTGAACTTCAACCAAGCTGACTTCTTCCTTGCCACCTCACCACTGCCCAAGAACTCTCAATCTAGGTTAGACACAAGTCTCCACACACATTTTGAGGATTTCATCCTATATTACATTTGCAGATCTATATTGCTTCCAATAGATTGTGGAGTAATAAAAAGATCACATGTCTATCTCAGCTCTCCTGATGCATTCTCCAACTTCTTGCTTTTAATTAAGAAATACCTTTGCTTTCCCCGTAGTTCCAGTTGAGCTACGAGGACTACAATGAAAACCTTTACATTTGCTAAATAAGAGGGTATATACATATTTAACTTAAGGCTCCAAGTTGAATGCTTGAACAAAAGAATGTAGACTCCCTGGCAGCCTAGAGAAACAAGACCATTTTCCACCCCACTTCAAAGTGATCCACAACAGCTTAGTTAGGAAGGCTCCTAACTTAGTAGGCAATTTAAATCACACTCCTTAATTAACAGCCAAAGTGTTTACATACTAAATTAGACCAAGAAAAAAAAAAAAAGCAAGCTCTAATCTTTATACGATATGGCTAGCTGCTATGTTTAACCACAGAACAAATATCTGTAGGAACGAGAAGTTAATACAGCTACTTAAGTATTTTGCATTTAACTCCTAAGGCTGATTTCCTGCTTGTTCTCCAATCTTGTTCTGTGTGCTGCAGATCAAAGCAATATGCTTCATCTGTTAAATATGCATCTGTCTGAATGAATGTGCACCTAAAATTTAAGATGGATATCCAACAAATTGAACCATACTACCCTACCTGCTCCATAGTTTATTTACAGTGGTTCTCTTTCACCTTCAGAAAAGCAAATGACACTATAAAAAGGGCCTTTAAATATAGGCGAGTGGATTCTGCAGCAATTACACTAGAATTCCTTCTTCGTTTTGCTATCCTCTAATTTTCCCTCATTTTCTTCCCTGTTTTGAGGTTTAAAAGCAGGATCTTTCAGCCAAGCACTCAGTTTGCATTACTATGTGTATGGGGACTTCTTCCTCAAATATTTTTGCATTGCAATGCATTATAGGAAGGAAAAAAATATGTACATTTCAGCAATCGATCTCTCTCTGAAAGCCTGCTGGATTTTTTTTGGAATTTTTTTGACTAGCCTCCTTCCCTCTAAGCCATTTGGAAAAATGCACTTTGGGGTTCTTCTAATTCTGTAGCTAAGACCATTAATCTGTCTCACATTTATGTTCTAAAACACAGTAAAAACTTTAAAAGACTAATTTGTCATCTATAGATGCATAGCATTATGATCAAGCCTACTTGAGAGAATGTTGCCAAAGGTTGAGCTGCACTCCTCAAAGATCCATTTTTGTTTTTTAATGCTAAGATTTCTAACATTGTAGCAACTGAGCTTGTCACGCAAACCCATTATCAACTTTATTTTCCTATATTTATCTTTTAGTTTTACTTCATCAGTCCAAGAATCTAAACATTAAAAAAAAAAAAAATACTGCTCTAAACTTTTGTCTTGCCTTTAAGGTGTCTAAAAGGAACTTTAAAGAACTAACTTGTTTTTTGACTATGTATAAGGTGACAGTACTATTTTCAGTTTTCCTAGTAAGGTGTTATTGAAACAGCTACAGCACAAACTGAGCTCTAGAAAGATTTCCTTGTAAAGAACATTTGTTTTTAAAAGCCCAAAAAGACGTAACTAAACCTCATCTTAGCTTCTAAGTCTAACAAGCCTATTCCAAATACTTCAGCATGTAAACTTTATATTTCTTCGAGTGTTGAGTAAGCATTAGCTCTTTTCAATAAGCTCTTTATTTAAAAAGATTTTATAAAGAGTAAAGAGATGAATTTCAAATTTAATTAAAATCTGAAACATGCTAACAGCAGGTTATCATATACTATTAGCGTGCTAGCTCAGCTAAGTCACCACTGGCATCTAAAACAGAGAAAAACACTGAAACTCCAGTTGTATTTTGTTAATGGGCTGAGCCTTGTTTTAAAACAGGATTCCAAATGTACCTGCCTCAAGACACACAGAGTTTCAGGGGAAACAAAAATCTTTGAGATGTGATTACACTCTAAAGGACGTGCTTAACCTACCCGACTTCGCCGAGATACCGGAAGCCCCAGTGACGAGCCATTGTCTACATCTCCCATAAGGAAGTCTGAAACGCTGCCAGAAAAACAAAGAACTGCGTTACTTCATCGGTTTACCTCAACCGAACGATTTCAGATCACTGAGAACAAAAACTCAGATTCTAAAACTCTCCAAAAATGCAGAATAGTTTTTAAAGTACTACTTGCATGCCCTGCAATTTATACACCATTATCTTTTTCCAGGCTGAGGGGGAAAAATAAAATAAAGCAGTAAAACTGTTCTGTATATGAGTCATTTAAATTCAATGTTAGTCAGTATTTGTTGAGAAGAAAACTAAGATATTTTCAGTCTCAATTATGTTCAGCTCTATAAATTCATTCTAAATGCCAACTTACACGTTTCCAAAGGTGAATGCCAATGTTTCAATGGAAGAAAGTATTTCAAAGAGATCTCTCTTGTTTTCTTCAGTAACTTCTTTGAAGTTGACAGCTTAGGAAATAAAAGAGAAGCAAGGGTGAGTGGGCAAATCAAGCAATCTTATTAGGAATTGGTATAAACTTATATATGAAGTCTCCTAAGGAAAGGGTTTTTTAATACTCTTATGAACAATTTGAAAACTATATCTCAGATATAAAAATAGTAAAGATTAAGAACCCTACAAATAAAGAAATGATCAAAATGACAATAGATTTTTCCAGAATGAGAATGAGATTAGTCTGTAACCTCTTCTCAGCTGAGAAAAAGCTTTGTGGGGATACATGGTGGTAATGGTGGAGAAACCGAAAAAGAATCAGATCATCTAGCAGCAGCTCTAAACATTAGTTCACAAATGCAGAGACAAATGCAGAGTCAAATACTTGGCAACTGCTTCTCTGCCTTTAGGTAAAAAAAAAAAAAAATCCAGAATTCAGAATTGGAAATATGGTTTCTGGGACTTATTCTCCCAACCTCTGTCAACTGTACCTTTATACAGGTTTTATGCCTTGAGCACAGAAAACTAGAAAGCTATCAGAACATGGTGTCTGTGGCAAAGCCCTTCAATTATTAGCTCCATGATGGCATGGCAAAGAAAGCCCTCAGGTTTGTCTGCTAGAAGTGAGGAAGCAGCTCAGCATGAGCTTCGCTGTCTCAAAGCAGGAAACAGTTTTCAGAATAGCAAGAGGGTCAGGCCGGGGACCTTGAGCAGTCCAGAGCCAGCTCTGGGCCTCCACAGCAAACCCGAGCACAAGGGCGGCACCGAGAGATTCAGCCAGGGCTTCTATTAATAAAACTGCTGGAGGAGGAAAGGCAGGCAGAACAGGGAAAAAAATAACATTCCTTTTATCTAGGTTCCAGCTTAAATGCTAGATCATTGCCAATAAGGAAATTTTAACAGAGAAGTAAAGCTCAGAGTTGATGCCTTCTGGAGGGAAGTCAGCTTTATTTTGGGGGAAGAGACCATTTCACATTAGCATCTATTATGAAAAAAGATAGAAAAATATGCAATATTCCAAATTACCTAGATGACTAAATTTACTGTAATTACTGCTGTTTCAGAGGTATTGCATTGACACAGAGCAATTCACCCCACATTGATCGCTTTTTGCAAGATCTGTAACAGTATTAAATTCACTCTCCTTAGTATTTCAAGCACAAATATGGAAATAATGGACTGCAACAGCTTCTAGAAGTAGCAATAATTAAATCTTGTTGAAATGTCATCCATTCTATACACTGTTTCTTAACAGATCCAGGTAACAGACTCTAATCTTAAAAAGCATTCCAGCTTCCTGCCAGGTGCCTAAGCGCTAATGGGTAGCAAACAAAGAAAGTACAGTAATCTGTTCCCCCATTAGACTTCCTTTGTGAAAGGAAAAGTTTTAACCAGTAAATTAACACAACTGAATCCATTTCTTTCTAAACAGCACGTCAACACACATAACCAACATTTTTATAACAACTCTTTCTTAAGAAAGCTATTAGAGAAACTAAATGGTCATCTTGTTGACTATATGGCACCATCACTTAGAATACATTGGAAGAAACCACATAAAATGCCATGTACTACATAGATACTAACAGTCTATAACCACAGCTTGCTTAAATTATGATATCTCTCCTAGCTTTTAATTCCTTTTTCTGCATTTTGTAATTAAAAAAAACCCTCTGGCATCTTTGTTTGAAGTGAGATTCTTAATAAAATTCCACAGAAAATGTTTTTGAACAGTTTTGCAAATATCAATGGAGCAAGTCCCTCTCCCAGTACTGAGTTTCATTAGAAACCTCAGCTTTCCAGATATGAAGCTGCTTGTAAATATAAGCTTTACATTACATGCCAAATGATTAAGTGATAACAACTATTCAGAGGGCTATTGATTGTCAGGTGACTGGAAAAATCATTTGACTACAAACACGAAACAAATTGTTTGAAAATTAAAAGGAGACAACAAAAACTGTCTATAGGTTCAAGCACTTACCACAGAAACAGAAGGATATCCATTAGCCCCACTATCTTCAGAGAACAAGCACTTCTTTCCCTCCGTCAGGCATTAGTACAGATAACCTTACCCTACAGAAAAGCCCTTTGCCTTGCTGTGCTTTCCTGTTCCAGGAAGGCTCCAAAAGCTTTGTTAAGCTTTGCATTTCATATCCCATGAAAGTCTTTTCTTTTCAGGTTCCATCACATCAGCTGAATAAAAATCTTATGAAAAAATTTCATAATTACCACTTCTCCCTATAAAGCCCAAACTCGTACAAATTCAGTTGAATAAAAGCAGCTTACTTTTAGCTTGCAACCTCTGGAATGCTGATGTACTTAACATCAACTTTAAACCACGCACGCTCTTTCCCCAGGACATCCTGACTGCACACAATAGCTACTGACAACAATGAACTATAGTAATATTTCCATGTCTGGAAATGACAACTAGCTATCTATAGTTCTACAAATTTCAAAGCATGTATTTAAATAAGTGCTGCTGAATTGCATAAGACTTCAGATGGCACATAGTGAATTTTAAATTTTAATCATATGAATGCAACATATTAAAGTCTGAAAACTAGTACCTGAAATGCAAGCCCAGCTTTCATCAAAGGTGATCTACATTTCCAAAGATAACAAGTGTACCTTAGAAGAAAAATGGGGTGGACAGTTAAGTTCAACTACATGCTGCAAGCTGCTGTACTTTTCAACTTTGAGGTCAAGTTGTCAAAAGCCATCTGAACCACACACAGAATGGGCTGGATTGGGGAAGCAGCAATAACCACAGAGCTTTGAGACATCAGAAGCCCAGCAGCAAGAGCAATTGGGCAGCGCTTGTGGAGCTGCAGAGAAGGGCATTTGGGTGATATCACTTAAGTGCAACCAGCGCCTTAAAAGTTGATGCATATGCAGCTCGTGGCAGCTGCTGCACAGCTCAGAGTGACCACAGCACAGCTCCAGCCTCCTGAGCCCCTGCTAGTCAAATCAGCATGGTCCTGGAAACCCAGGGAATGCAGCCATGTCATGGAATCTGCAGGCTGCTTCCTTCCTCCCCATGGGTGCCAGCAGCACCAAAAGCAGCAGGGCTCTGCGGCACAGGTCTCACCTACCTCAAAGTACAGAGCTTCCTCTTTGCAGATCGGCCTTCTCACCCCTGATAGACACATACAGTAACACCACCGCTACCCATTTCCTCAGAAAAATGCATCTCTGACCTGTACTCTACTGGGTGGATAGCCAACTTTGAAACCAAGTGCATTTGGAGTCCGTTTTCTTTCCTTAAACTCCTGATTCTTTTGAGACCCTCTCAGAATTAAAAAAAAAAAAAAAAAAAAAAACACAACCACCACCACCACTCACGAACAAACAAAAAACCACCCCCCTCCCACCTAAGTGTATTTTAATGCTTACTGTTGTTGTCGCATCCTTAATTACATCCACATTTTCATATTTTAAAAACCTACACAAAGGAAATTTCAAAGTGGGGAAAGAAAGTTAAGTAAAGATCAGTTGTGCACCACCTGGAAAGAGGCCAAAGAGCAGCTTTGGGAGACCTCGCAAGCGGGCAGCACGAGCAGGCTGCTGAGGCCCCAGGCCTGCTGCTCCATCTGCGGCACAGTGTCCCTGGCCCGTATATGCTGCAAGATCTGGCGGTCTCCCACCTTCAGCTTACTGCAGAGAAGGCAAAGTTTGAGGAGCTGTTTCTTCCTTACTATCTATTAGACCATGCTCTCAATTTACAACTCACACCATGAAAATTGAAATTAATTCATCTTTGCTAGAGCTATTTTGCTTTAATGCAGGACTATTACAGAACAACCCCACGTAGAAGGGAAACTTCTACAAGACAAGCGCAAGTTTTCAGCTTTATCAAGGATCTGTTTATCTACTAATTCAGTTACGGTGAAGGATGCAGTATCGAGAAAGAGGACAATACAGCCTCCAACTTCGCATGCAATCATGAAACACACATACTCTATGGCCATCAGCTATTTAAAGTTACTGAGTGGGAACTTAACAGCCTCAAGCATGACGGGGTGTGAGGCTGGGAAGTGACTACCAGAAATAGAATTCTGAGCACATTCCAGGAACATCCTTACTAATAGGCGGGGAGCTTCAGTTGGTCTTAATGCCTTCAGCTCAAGTGAGGTGCCATTTAAAGAGCAAACTTCTCAAAGCAGTCTGATGAGGGCAGTTGAGGAGTAGGGCCCACAGGGGGGCCCAGTGAAGCACCTCACACACTATATTCAAAGAAATCAAGCTCTTTCCGCCAGCAACCTCCATCTAAAATAGTGCGAGTCTCACTGTACCTGTTCAATCAAGCATCATACACTGTCTATAAGATTAACACAGTATGGTTAGCATTTTTTTCTCTCTCCATCGGGCCCAAATGAACAGCTCAAACATCAAAAACTTAAAAATAACAGCAAAACCATACGCACAAGACATATCAGTAACTCAAAGTGCAACTTAGACTTGCAAGAATACTTTACAGACCAGGGCTTGGAGTCTTATGAGTTTAAATTGCTGGTTCCAAAGAGACTTAACTGATTTCATTAGAAGCAAAAGCAGACATATAGTAAACATATATTAACATGACATATTAAAGTGAAATAAATATTCACCCTTACTTTTGGTTCCAAAGGCAAACAAGATTTGAGACCCCAGCATTATACCAAGATAACCAAAGATCCTTCTAGAAGACACAACAGTTACATTTCTATTTCTGAAGGGGGAAAAAAAAAAAAAAAAAAAGCAAATCCCAAGTAGTTGCCATTTCATCCTCTCCTAAATAAACAACATTAGAAATTTTCCGTGCCAGGTTCATCTTCTTCCTAGTTAGTCATAAATCTGACTACAGATACAGAACGCTTCCGTGTCTTTTTATAGCTCTGCCCTCCAGCGACAAGAAACAGATGAGTCAGATGGACTTATTTCATTAACACAGCCTGGGAAGACAGCAGAAAAAGGATACTAAATCTAACCCACTGAGTCCTTACATTCTTGCAGTTTCCTGTTTATTTAAAAGTTACTTTACTTCTAGTGAAACAACCACAGCTGAAAACCTGTGAACCCAAGTGTTACTGACAGGCCACTGTAAGCAAATGTGAGGTCCAATACGGTTACTGACTGCCACAAAATGCTCTTTTCACTTTGACTTCGTCGGTGCCAGCTGTAATACACTCAGTACTAAAATGGACTACCCTCAAAGAAACCCACACTTGTAAAAAGCAAAATATACTAAAAAGAGGAAGATGCTGTCTTTGAATTAACCAATGATTACGTTGTGGAGGAAATAGGCCTTTTTCTTACAGCATAGACTGTCCTGAGCAGAAGTAGGACCGAAGCAACAATCCTAAAGAGCTGAATACCCGCAACTGCCTATTTCTGTCTTCAGACACAGAAGGAATACAACATCAGATCATTAACAAAGGTTACTAAAAATCTTCATAGATAAAAAAAAATGCATCATCAAACAACAGTGTAAATACTGAGGCAGGGCTATAATCCTGGAAAACCTCCCCATCAGATTTGCGTAAATTTGGCCAAAATCTTCAAATAAACACATTGATCAAAACCATGTTCTTCAGTTTCACCCAAAGCTGTCTTTTCTTGATAATTAGCTGGGGAAATCCATGCTGCCACGTCCCACCGCACTGGATCACAAGTGCATGATTCACTGCAGCGGAGGGAGCTTGTGTTCCCTTTAGCCAAAGGGCTATCGCACAATTTACAGCAGCCCCTCACCTCTAAGTCAGACATGCACTGCCTCTAAGACAGACAGCTAACTCCATAACAAATTAGAGGGCTGTGTACAGGCAGTAATTTCACACCATAATCTCTTACTCCATCAGATAACTTTATTATTTATTCACACCGGAAGAATGAATTCTTATCAGATCAGCACATTGCACCTCACGACTACTATATTTTTAAGATTAAGTCTTTTGATTGTGGTCCTTACAGCTAGAGTTTCAGTATTGTCAACTACTGACAGCATTTGGAATAGCATACATCAAGTTCAGAACATTGCAAATCCTTCAAAGAAATGGACTAGTATTATTCAAAACATTTCATATTCAAAACCTTTTCTCCCCTCCCAATTATGCAATTCAAAAAAGTGCTTAATTCTTCACTTCAGGAGGAATTGGCAAGGAGCAGTTTGCAGCATCGTATATTACAAACGGACAAACTAAACTGGTCCAGAGAGGATTAATAATATCATAAAAGTTTTCAGAAAAATGATTTGGTAATTGATTGTTTGCGTATTTGACACACAGTTCTCCTTGATTTTTCTTATAGAAAGAAATGTTGAGCTGTGTCTTCTGTCCACTGAAATTAGGGTAAGCTTAGAAACAGGCTTGTCTGAGGCTAGTGTAAAATTGTACTCGCTGGAGGTTTAATCTGTTCTCACAGATGAAAAAAATTATCACTGCACACATGTACTTAACTCTTGCAGAGAGCCAGGAAGAAAAGAGCAACCTCTTGGGGATGCCCTTTGCAGTCCTACTGTTGCATACAATTCTACTGAAGAAAGTTCAGAAACTGCAGAGTTAGTCTCCTGATGATCTCAAATAGCAGAGGCAACTCTACAAGAAACCCAGTGTAGCAGGAAGAAAATGAGAAGTGACCTGCAAGAGTCTGCCACATTCCAGGAGTACACAGGCAGAGATATATGGATATAGGAAGAACCTACAGGAAGCTTAGAAAAATTCCAGCTACAGAAATCAGGCAGCTAAATATTTTAGCATTTTGATTGGCATTCCAACTTTACTGAATCTGTAGCGTGTATTCAGCCACACTAAGATACTCAGATGAAGGAAAAAACCCTGGAATGAGGAGAAAAAAAAAACTAAATTACATAGTTTGGAAGGAAGTCTGTCCACATGATTTAACATAGGAAAGAGGTGGAGACTTAACTTGGCTCAAAGTATTTTTCATGCCATGTAGAAAAAAAGCACTTCTGCTTCCACTGTAGTACATTGGAGTTTTTCCAGAACAGCGAGAGCTGCAGTCCAAGGCTACATGTTGGAAAAAACAGCCACGGTTTATGGGGCTGGAATGACTACGTGTTTCAGTGTTGTATGCCCCTGAAAGGCTAAGAATTACAGCAGCAACAGCAAATAGAAAGCATTAATGTAAGTCTCCAAAGTTGGGCTTTTTTTTTTTTTTTTTTTTTTTTTGGGGGGACAGTCTCCTAAATATTAGGCCATTCCGATTCGGATTGCTCATTCAAGTTATTTTATTTATTTATTTATTTATTTTTTGCAAATGCAAGATTATCTTGAACCCCATGAATTCATTCTACAATACAAGAAAAGGACAGGATCAAAGGCTTCTGCTTTTGTAACTCTGTGTAGTTGTGCAACTAGCTTGCACTAAACAGGTTCTGAGTAGCTTAAACATTTCACTTAAAAGAAGTATTTCTAAACAAAATTGAGGGTTTAAAAAAAACAAAGCTATTAAAAAAGCCTGTTTCTCCTGTACACATGGAATCTCATACATGAATCCATACATGGAGAGTAAGTATCAAGTCACTAATTCAAGTTTTCCCAGATTCTGAAAAGCAATTATTTGCTTACCCTTTACTTTTGCGATAACTGTTCCTGCCGCACTAAGAATGTCAACGGAGTTTAGAGTCTGATGTTTATTTATCACTGATTTTAAAACACGCAGCGACTCTCCCAGACGTTCGTGTACTACATGATGCAGGCCATCTTGATGTTCTGAAAAAAAGAAAAAATACATCAAAACATTTTTATAACTTACAAAAGTGGTATGAAAAAAACATTGACAGTGTTCAATTGCATGAAAATCTAGGAATTTTAGGAATGGTACACTAGCATGCTAGTTTTCACAACTAAACCATTCCCCCTCAAGCCCCATTTCCTTATGGTATTCCATCAATCACTATCTTGGTGATTGATGATTACATGTTCAAAAAACAGAATTAGCTAAAACAGATTTGTATTGCTCATTGGCTAATTCTTCAGTTAATACAAATTCGATACCATCTCTGTCTACTCATAGACCTAAGCAAAGATTTTTGGCAGGTGTTAGCCAATTTTGAATAGCTTTTAACTCCAGTGTCAATCAAATCCTGAGCATCTTTACTAAATAAGTCTAGATCTATCAAGGCCTTTCTTTAGGCATGCCAGTCCTGATGAACTCAGGATGAAAACATAGAAGAACTTTGTCGACCTAGACCCAAACTGGACAAGTTCTCAGGCACACGTGTGCATGGGACACCACAGAGCGCGCCGCCTTTGCTGTGCGGCGTACGGCCTGGCCCCTCTCGCCGGCAGCTTCACACACGGGGCATAGGTTCAACCACAAGCTCTTCCAAGGCTACAGGAGAGGCTTCGCTGCACAGAAGTAGTTTCACACGTGCCAGCGCGCACGCTGCCGCAAAAAGCTTTCAGATTCAGGAAAGTCTAGCTTATGAGAGAGAGGAAAAGAGGATCTCATGGAAGCTGACTCACTTCCCCGGAGAATCAGAGCAACAGCAATTCTAACCGCTCCGTGACCATGGCAGCCACAAGGGCAATATGGGCAACTACAGCACCGTGCCGAGTGATTCAGCGCAACTCAGAGCAGCTTCAAGCCTGAGCTGTTCCGCTCTGCTTGCGAGACATTAATTATTAATTAGACTGAAAGAACGTAAGCTTGTCCGAAGGGTCAAAGCAGCACACCACCACTCTCCATTGCAGAATACTGCTACTGTCAGGTGCGTGGGTGGGAGCTACACAAATAATACTGCATTTAAGGGCAAAAAGTAAGTTTTGAGGACTTGCAGTTGCCAAAAGCAAGTTTTTTGAGGGTTGCTGTGCTTCAGGCTTTATCTCCCTATATGTCAAATAGTCGGGGTTCTTTCTGAGTCAACCTGGCTTATCATGGTCAAGGGAAAAACCTTGACTCAGGAAATGGATAACAGCAAAAATACTCATCAATCATAGGCACGGCATGTGCCTTTCCTCCTGGCCTGGGGGTGGGAAGCTCTTGAAAGTCCGTATCTTTTAGCACACACATTAATAGCTGAGGTGATTTAGAAAAGACACACATGAGTCTAAGGGCATGTTTGAGCTCAGCATTTCATACTTTAACAGAGAAGACACTGCGGGTTTGAAACACTCCAGTAGTGGCAGTAGTGAAGGCTGGGACCCTGCAGAAGAGAGGACTTAAAGGAGAGATGCCAGAATGCTGCAAATTCATTAAGCATGAAGACAGAAACAAGTGCTTACTAACTCTTAAAATTGGAGAAAAAAAAAGAAAAGAAAAAAAGAAAAGAAAACAGAAAAGCAAACCCCTCAGGATGATTAAATGGAGCAAGCAGGAGGCAGAATCACAACAAAGAAAGGTGGTTGCTCATGCAACAGACCTGTGCAGCCCCTTGCCAAAACAGCATGGACACAAGCTCATGTGGAAACCGGACCAGTTCCTGTCGGAGTTTCGCTGCAGATTACTAGGGACATAAACACCCTACAGAGCTGGGCTGAGCTGGCCTGATGCATGCGCAGCGTGATAGCTGGAAATGCTGCTTAGGAGGCCAGAGCAGCAGTCACAACAGCTACAACCAAGGTTGTTCCAAAGCTCTTCAGTTTGCAAGCCCATCACCTTTGAATTAATCCCTTTTGAATCCACCTCCATAGCTTTTTTATTTTATAAAAGTAAACTATTCCACTCCACTTTTTACTCCATTGAACCACTAAGTACTATACTCAAACTATAAAGCCTGCAAAAGCTTAAGAACACCCCCGGGCAGAAAATGCTGTGAGCATAGAAAAAAAAATACATTTGTCTGACACACCGTTTCTGCTCTTCACCAGCTATTCACTTCTGGCATTTGCTGGAGCAAACGCTAGGTTAGAGGCAGCATTAGTCCAAATTAGCATGGTTGTTCACATCTTCCAGCCTCTGGAGCTGCACTACAACCACCATAATGAAACTAGATGATGGTCCCCTCAGGCTTTAATCCATCAAAGGCTCAATTATACTGAATCTACACAACCATAAACGCTACTAGGAGGACTAGGCAGCTCCAGACAAAGGTAATGGGGAAAAGGAAAACAGTGATCTGTACTGGTGCCCACAAACCCAAAGTGGATCAGACAACACAGAAAACATACCTGAAAGTTACAGTAACATGCTTCCAGGAAATGGAACATTAGATCATTATAGCAATTCCACCTAGCTCAGAGGACAAATCTCGTGTGCAGACTTACTGCCTATAGAAATAGTAGCCACCAATCTCTTCTTACAAACTTCCAGATGTGGACAAGTCTTCCAGAATTCTGCCTTGGGGGCACAGCAAGGAATTAGATGGACAGGATTGGGAGATGTAGGCTTTTACAGATGGATTTGAAGGTTTTATATACACTACAACCTTCCTCCAAAACAGGCATCCATTCAATAAGAACACAAGACTTTCAGAGCATGAATATCAGAGTCAGCTGGCTGGACATAGCACGTACAAGCGCATCATTTGACTGGAGCAGCATTCATCCCATAGCCAAGCAGAAAGTGTCATTATCCAGGGGAGTTCAGTGTGACATGTTTGTTGCCATGTTAAGAACAGCTTTTTTTTTTTTTTTTTGACCCAAAACAATCCAAAACAAAATACACAAAACGCACACCTACTGTGGCCAATTAAAGCACATTTGATCCCAAATGTAGTTTTCTTAACATTTGATAACATCTCACCAGACCAAGTTGAACAAAAAATAGAAGGGAGAAAGACGCTTCAAGCACACAAGCCCCTTCAAATCCAAAGAAAAGCTGTAGGCTTCAAAGGGAAATACAATTTGAAAACAACTTCTGAGTTGAATTAGATGTTTATCATACCATCCGAGAGAACACTATCACTAAAATAATGCATTCAAGCATGAGGTTAGTTATTTGTACTCTCAAAAGCAAAAAATTTGGTTACACCCAACTGACATCTCTTTGTATTCCATCATTGCGTTATTTGTTTACTAAATACTTGAAACATTTATTGTTTCTGTGGCTGGAGAAGACAAAAGGTCTGATACAAGCAGTGCTGACAGGGTGGGGGAAAAGCCATCAGGAACTACAAATACTCTGCACCAAGCAACTAATATTCACCAAACAGACAGCAATACAGAGATTTCCTGTCCAGCATAGATTCACAAGCCTCAGGTAAAAAATATCCAAATATGTCATGTTAATAGAAACCCAATTTTATTAATGAGTAGTCCTAATAAGGCTAAAAGATCCATACAAATTTAGAGCAAATATTGTTTACAGTGAAAAGAATGCATGAGAAAGTGCTTCCAGCAAGTTCATGCAAGTCAATGTCATTTAAGTATCAATGACAAAACAAATCTCTGTTTTCTGTCAGTTTTTCTTTCCCTTCTTGCCTTACTATAAAAGCTCATTTATCTGCAGGAAGCCAAGCAGGAAATTCTTCCCCCAGTGGATACTAGGGCCAGTTTAAGATCCCACCCTGCAGTCACAGGGCTTTGCGCTGTGCAATACCTGGGACGACCGCCTTGTGTCTTGCCACTCACCAGAGCTCTCCGGGCACGCGAGGCAAGCTGCTCGCGGGGGTGATTAATGCACTCTTGGTCACCTCCTGAAAGAAGCAACCAGTCCAAAGTGGCAAATGACACTAGATCGCAAAACACCCCAAACCAAAAACCATTATAGGAGTTGCATTTTCCACTTTCACCTCTGATAGTGAAGTTAAGTTTCAAATAGTACCAGAAAGAACATTGTGGCAGATACATAAAGCTAATTTCCAGATGTCGTTCACAAACACTGGATGCACTGTGTGCAGAGCAGCGCACAGCAACTGGGCAGCCTGGAGAAACCTCAGGTCAAGCTCTCTGGCAGGACACGGCTCTCCCTTGAGCACCCACCCAACACAGCTCTGGTCACCCTGTTTTATGACCACTCATCTATCTTCAGCGTCAGAACAGCACCAGCACCTATTTTCTAATTTTATGCATTTCTCAAAGGGAAGCCTGTATTTACTAAACATTAGCAAGCAGCAACAGCCTCACAGCTATGGATTCCAAAACAAAACCTGATTTGCTGAGCAAGCTGGTGGGTGCTGGCCCACGCGGGCCAGCGAGCGCAACCGCGTTACACACAGCCGGGACACGCGCTGCTGCGTCAGGGCTGGTGCATCTTTTGTCTGATCCCATTTGCTGGTAGCCCAAACAGTTCAGAGGCTGCTTATTTTACCAAACATTTGCCAAGGCCAGTATAAGTGACAGACCAGCACATTTTTTTTCCCCCCCATATGCCCATTGCATCTTCCACCTCCTCTTTAGGCCATTCAGAAGATCCACAGCTTCTCCAGGTGCATTAACAATGACACCTTCTAACAGCCAGCAGCTCCTTCTTCCCCAAATCCCGGGAGAGGGGAGCCCCTTACACAAATACTGCTTTGCCATGGTTACAGGCCTGCTTAAAACTGCAGTGGTCCCACCTGAGAGAAGAGGGCATATCACTAAAGTAACTGAAAACCTATCTGTGAAATTCTCTTGAAATCATGTCATGTGCATGACTGACAAAGCAAATACTCTATACTACCTTGTCTAAGAAGGCCCTGCTTTCCAAAGGGAGCTTTGCACATGTCAAAAGATTAGAGACTGTTTTGTTTCATGCATTTCATAGCTTTCCAGACAGGCAATGAGTGATAGTATCAATGTGGAATAACCTGCCATATGCACACTCTACAAGTTTATGTACTTAACATAGG